GGACGCTGGTAACAGGTGTTCAGAGCGTCTAACACCCTCCCGCGCAGTCCACGAAGGCGGCCAGGTAGGAGCCCCGTGCAGGCGGGCGGTACAGGGCGCACGGGCTCCTGGGTAGACAGGAGGCCCAGGAGGCGCAGAGGACCGCCAGCCTGGGCCCGGTGCGGGCTGCGTGCAGGGGCCAGGGGCACGGGAGGAAAGGCTGAAGAAGCAGGACTACTCCGTGGTGACCGAGTGCAGCCGCCACCCCGTGCGGGTGAGGGCGGGTCGCGACAGACGGTAAGCAGGGGACAGATGGGGTCACGACTTTATCTGAGCAGGTCACGCAGACAGCCGTGTGGAGGGCAGCCGGCAGCGAGGTGAGGTCCGGAGCACGCCGTCCCCGCCGAGCCGAGGCCTGGGCCTGGCCGCTGCAGAGGCCCCGGGAGAGCAAACTGGGTCCCACCGGGGAGCCGGCACCCGGCCCGCTGAGTTGCTGAGCTCCGTGAAGCGGGGCGCTCGGGAAGCAGTCGGGCTGTATCCGGAGGCTAACAGCATTACCCCTGCTAACAGAGTCCTGCCTGCAGTGCCGAACGCCAGGGAGCAGTCCCGGGCACCTGGTTCCTCGGAGGCAAGGCCCTATCAAGACCAAAAGCATCCAAAGTCACCCGGGAGTCCGCTTCCTACAGAAGACCCCAAAGAAATACAGGGGACATTTTCCCCTCCAGCACGTTTACGACCTTATTAGGGATCTAAAAACGCCAGACATAAATGTAAGGGAGGGACACGGAAGATGCTGACTTAAATCCAAAGAGAAATATGATTCTAGTAGGAAGTGGGGAAGAGAAGTGTGAAGCTCACTGCTGGCCGGACCCCTCCGGAGGCAGCACCTAGCACACGCTCCGTTCCCCTGCTGGGGGCCCGGCACGCGGCCACCGTGGACATCGCCAAACACAGCCGGTGCCAGAAGCAAGGACAGCCAGGCCTTGTGTTAGTGGGGGACGAAGAACACGACGTACATAAAGGAGGCAGAACCCAGACAACAGAATCAGCAGCACGAGGAGACATTTCCTAATGGGATTTATATGTTGTAAAAGGGCAAGAACCGGGAAAGCTGGCGGGTCTCCGCGAGGTGGGGTGGGGCAAGGCCGAACGAAGTGAGAAGAAGCAAGCCTCGGAGCTGGCGAAGATCAGAGCTCCAATTCGGCGAAGGGAAACGAAGTCAAAGCCACGATGGACACGTAAGTGAGAACGGATACGCCAAAGGCCTGTGCCCATCTCGCCCACGTCTGCCTTGTGTGTCCCGCCAGGGAGAAGGCCAGCACGCACAGACCAATGGGCACTGAGGAGCGGCGGGCTGCAGGAAGGCCGCGTCCTGTGGGCCGCGAGCGCTCGGCCCGCACCCAGGCCCTCAGCTGGAGGCCCCTCCGCTGGCCACATGCCTCTTCAGGGGAGGGGCTGCTGGGAACGGGATTAGCAGATCCTGGTGTTTCCACATCTAACGTTTGTTTTCGAAATGAGGGCCATTCACTATGTGCACGTTTGCCCAATCTCTGAAAGCACAGTAAACACGAAGCACCCCAGTAACTATACTCTGAGCCTGAGACAAAGGTTCTCCTTGCTCCATTCTGGCCCAACAAACTTCCAGGGCATTTGTCGAAGCACTTATCTTGTAACAATACTTTCTAGGGGCGCCTGGGTGGCTGAGTCAGGTAAGCGTCTGCCTTCGGCTCAGGTCATGATCCTGGAGTCCCGGGGTCCAGCCGGGATCATGCTCCCTGTTCAGCGGGGTGTCTGCTTCTCCCTCTGCCCCCCTCCAAATAAAATCTTAAAAAAAAAAATACTGATTATAAAATGTGGCAAAATGAGCTTAGGGAGAAGACTCAATGGCACCCGGCTTTATTTTTATATTTTAAAAAGATGTTATTTATTCATGAGAGACCCAGAGAGAGGCAGAGACCCAGGCAGAGGGAGAAGAAGGCTCCATGCCAGAAGTCCGATGCAGGACTCATCCCAGGACCCCAGGGTCACGCCCTGAGCCAAGGGCAGATGCTCCACCCCTGAGCCACCCAGGCGCCCCCGCCCCCAGCTTTATTTTTATTGATGGTGGAAGAGATAGGAGATTTAAACACCATGATTTAACAGTGACTTAGCCTAGTTGCTATCCAACAAAAGAACTACTTGACAAATCCAAACCTGTTTCAGACTTCTGCACGTGGTATCTAATCCCTCACGATCCTAAATTCTTGCTGTGTCTCCGCAGCATGTGACAGGACCCAGCTACGGTTTCTCCTCGACCAGTAATACGGCACCCCAAAAGTATTGTCTCCTGTCCCCTCACATCGCTCGTCTTTGGAAAACAGACTTTTTCACTTTTACTGAAGGAACTGCACTGAACGGTCATCCAACTAAAATTCTGTTATAAAATAATTAATAAGGCACCGGGGACAATCATTTCAGAAGAGCATCATAATGAATCATTTTCATGTAAGAAGTGGTTACCTTCCATCTTTATGGAAAAAGAGTGATCACTGATGTTCCACTTTATAAAGGGGCACAACTCATTACAAAAAATGAGTAAGTACCACACATGTTAGTGGTGCTTATTTTATAGAAGGTAAAACTTGTTATTAATGAGTTCAACATATGGTTTTTCTTTATGAAATTATTGGAAGAAATAAGATGATTATCATTTTTGTAGAAGGTCACAGTCTGAGGTTCAGATTATTCCTCTTGTGTGACTATTGACAAACTGTTAAAATTCATAACCTCTGCTGCAATTTATCAACTGCTTTGGCCAAACAGGGAAATGACGGAACAATGTGACTTTCTGTATCAGAAAAGAGGAAGAGAGATCTATTCTTAGAGGGCCTAGAATAATATTAAAGATAAAAGACTGAAACGAACCGCCCATTCTTGCTTCTCGTTATTTAGAATAAAATATCACGATTACTTGTCTTACTTCCAAAGAAATCCCCACACTGATTCCACCATTGTCGACCCACACAGGAGAGGAAGTTAAACCGAAATACTCAACAGATATGTATGTTATGCAAGCAAAGCAATGTCCACTATCTCAATGTCTTCATCCTTTTTCTCAATAATAGAGCATTCTTCATCCTCGCTCAATGACAGATGTAATTTAGAAGGTATTAGCGTACAATGAAATGACGTAATAGTTATGGCTAATGTTTACTGAGCACTTACTCTGGCAAGCACTGAGCCAAACACAGATTACCTAAAAAAAAATGAACTGAACCCTCATAAAAGATAATCCTATGGAGTATTATTAGATTAGGTGTCTTCATTGTACATACATATGGAAACTGAGGCCTAGCAAAATTAAGTGGCCACGCTGCTACTGAGTGGTAAAATCAGATGACATGCATGACCAATGAAGTATTTGAGAATAACCAAAAGTAGGGACATGAATGAGTTTTCTGCAGGGCTAGAAATACATTCTTGGTTGGATACCATGGCAAGGCCTAGTCATATCCACTAGAGTTAGCAGAAGACTTTACAATAATAGTTGCTGTATCCCTCAACCATTAAGATTGTTACTTATGCTTTACAGCTTTAGGTAGATTTATGAAAATAGATAAACACAAAATAAGAACCAAGAGTCAAAAGGATTGTGGAAATAAGAAAGGAGTGAGCTGTAGGAGGATATTTAAGTTCTATGAAAATCTGAAAGACCGCGGGGATTCCCAACAGAGACACCACTGGCATTGCATGTGTGCATGTGTGTGTATAGATCTTGCACATACATGTGCACACACAAACATCTGTCTAGGGGACAGTTCATTCTTTCTCAAACAGTGCTGTCCTATGTGTCATAACACACCTAGCACCTTAATCCCCACCTACTAATAACCAGAAGTTCCAATGCCTGTGGCCACTCAATACACTTCTGTACATTTTCTGCTGACCTGGAATGAGAACCATTGATTGTTGGATAAAAATACTGAGAGAAGTGACTGACGTTAATTGTGCGTTGTGAATGAGGTACTCCGCTATGTGCATTCACACGTTCATTTATTACTCATAAACCCGTATGAGGTAAGCAGGTGCTTTATCCGCATTTTACAAGTGTGGATCCTGAGGCTCAGAGAAAGGTTAAGGAGCGCGACCGTGGTGGACATAACAGACACCTGAAGCCAGCAGCCTGGTTCCAAAGCTACACCTATCTGGGTTGATCTTTTAAACCGTTAAGAGTGTGGAAGGCATACCTTTCGTTTCTTTAAAGAGGTTCTTTCGGAAAACACAAATCGTTGTAAGGAGGACCCACGGTGTGCATGTGATCATGCTCCTGGGATGGAATGGCTCCCTGGGCTGGGGGTGAGGGGCCACGTGTCAGTGAGTACAGTCCTATGATGTCAGTATCAAGAGCTGGCCTGTGCAAGTGTACATCAGGGGGGCTTGGAGCATGTGGCTATACGTGTCGGGGTGTGTGTGTGTGTGTTTCCGGGGAGGAGAGAGTGTGCTGTACTGAGACTTACGTGTCTTATTTATCACTTGCAGAGCATTTACTACGCGCCAGGCGCTGCTGCAATTGCCTGATGATACATCATCTCAGCACGAACGACAGGTAGTGCGGGCCGGTGTCTGTGTAGCAACGAGCCCAAGAGGCGACAGGTGCCTGGGCTGGAAGGGGAAAGGTCAGCTTGGACGCATGTCTCCCTCATTTGCGTTCCGGTGCCGTCTGAGGCTGGGGGCAGGGTTGCGCTAGGCGGCGGGTGTGCCACGCACAGCGGAGGTGCAGCCTGGGCAAGGCGGTGTCGTGCAACTCACGTGTGCAGTCTGTGCACGGCCGGTGGCGCGGGGCACGCGGGGGGACCACGGCGCGGGGTCCCGGGGGCGCCTGGGCCTGGGGGAGGCGCGTGGAAGCGCCGTGGGCCGCGGGGCTTTGAGCGCGCAGCGGGACGTGCTCACAGGGGTGCACGGGAGGTGGCCCGGGGTCCCGGGGCTGGGGCGCCCCGTGGTGACCCGCCCCCGCCCCCCCGCCCGCGGCGCGCCCGGCTCACCGCGTGAAGGCGAAGTACATGAGGCTGACGATGGTGAAGCTGAGCAGGGTGATGGTGTGCGGCCGGTAGAAGAAGTCGATGGTGATGTCCTCCACCTGCTGCTCGTTGATCATCCGGAAGTGCATCTTGTAGTTCACGTCGTCTTTGCTCAGGGTCCGGCTGCCCACGCACGACGCCATGGCGCGCCTCCCCGTCCTGCGGCGGCGGCGGTGGCCCCGGGCCCAGGAGGCCGCGACCCCGGGGCGGGCGCGCGGGCAGGCGGCGGGCGGGCGGCGGGGCCCCGACTGGCGCCGAGCGGGGGCCGGCGGCCGGGAGGGACGCGCGCGGGAGGGCGGGGTCGGGGCGCCGCCAACGCGACCTCGGGCGGGGGGCGCCGCCGGCAGGGCCCCCGCTGCCGCCCCGCCAGCCGCATCGCCCGGGCCCCGCCGTGGCCGCCCCAACGCAGGCGCCGGGCGCCGGGGGGCAGCGAGCGGGGCGGGGGCAGCGGCGGGCCCGGGCCGCCTCCTCCCGCCGCGCGCCGCCCGCCCGCCCCCCCCGCGGGGCCTCGCGGATGGTCTCGCCCACTCCGGCCGCAGCGCGCGGGGGCGGGGCTTCGGAGGGCGGAGTCTTGGATGGGGCGGGGCCTCGGGAGGGCGGGGCCTGGCACCCTAGCCCGACCGGGAGCCGGGCCGCCACAGGTAGAGCGCGGTGGGGGTGGGGGCGGGGAGCGGGGGCCGCCCGGGGGCTCGGGCTCGGCTCGGCCCGGCCCCGACCCCGGTTTCTTTCCTCCGACCAGCGAGGCGGGGCCTGCAGCGGCGCGGCGGAGGGAGGCGGGGGCGGGCTTCCTGCGGAAGTTCCCGGCGGCGGGCGGCGGGCGTGGGGGGGCCTGCGGGGTCCCGGGCCGGCGAGGCGAGCGGCTGCCTGCCCCGGGCCGACGGCGCCGCGCCCACCCTCCAGCCCGCTGCACCGCGTTCAGCCGCCGCCTCGCCTCCCCCCGGCCGCGTGGCCGCGGCGTAGACCGACGACCTGGTGTCCTGGCCGCGGGGCCACTTGCAGCCAGCGCACGCTGCAGCCGGCGAGTCTCGGGGCCCGGGGCGGGGGTCGCGGGGCGGCCGGGGGGTGACCCAGGCCGCGGGGTGACGTAGGCACGGGGGCTGTGACGTAGACACGGGGTGACCCAGGCCCGGGGGGGGGGGGTGAGCGAACAATCCATCCACGCAGGGGCACACCCAGCAACGAAGCGATGATGCGACAGGATCCGGGCAGGAGAAGCACGTGAAGCCCTTTTTAAAAAAAGTATATATATATATATTATTTATTTATTCCTGAGACACAGAAAGGGAGAGAGAGGCCGAGACCCAGGCCGAGGGAGAAGCAGGCTCCTGCGGGGAGCCCGACGGGGACTCGGTCCCGGGACCCGGGGTCACGCCCTGGGCCGACGGCGACACTAACCGCGGAGCCACCGGGCTGCCCCCGCGAAGGCCTTTCACGGGTTTCGGGCGGGATGCGGGCGGGATGCGGGGCCCCCTGCGGCAGATGGGAGGCGCACTCATCTGAGCCCGCAAGGCTTCGCCGTCCGTGGAGATTTCCGAAGTCTGCTCTGAAACCTGAGAAGTCAGTCCAGTGTTTTACGGCGCACAGGGACAAGGACCCCTCGGTGCGCCCGAGACCTTGGGAACCGCGCCCCGTCCCGGCCGTGGGCCGCCGCGCCGCCGAGGCCCCCGGGCTTCCACTTTCCTCCCTTTGACTTTGCAGAGACGGGATGTCGCGGGCTTGCGGGAAAGGCCCACGCCTGGCTGCCATCTCCCGCCAGGATTTAGCGAGAAGCATCTACCCCAGGAGGCTGTTGTGCAAACTTACTTCCTTTCTAAAATCACTCCAGAGTGACAGTGAGCCTTTGACTTTCAGGAATCTTTCTGGAGACTTCCCTAAATTCCAAATCTCCAGGAAGACAGACCCTCAATCATCTGCTCTAATTCTGAGCGTAAAACAAGCTGAATTCCAATAAGCAGAAAAACAGATCAAAACGTTGTATGCTACGATTAATTGAGCAGCAAATACTCCCTTCGTATTTGGATGTATAGTCAACGATGATAAAAATGGCCAACATGTGTTGAGCATTTTCTATAGGCTGGACTCCATGCTATGTTTTATGTGGATTATCTTATTTAACATAACATAAAATTATAACATCAAATCTCTCCTAATGAAGCTAAATATAAAATCTCTTCATAATCCTGGAGCTTAACGTCATAACAGCCTTTCCTTATAAAAAATCTTTTTAAAAAACTGCATTTTTGGCCAAACATTTATGTATTCATCGCTCGTTGCTTATGTATTTCTGTCATTTCATTTTGCTTGCTAGTTTTGACCTTTTGTTTTTGAAGGCTTTTCTTTTTCTTTTTTTCTACAGCCAAAAACAGAATTTGACAGAATTGGTTTTGTTAATTCCCTTCTGAGGAACAGCTTTATCCAAAATAATCAACAGTTCAGCCCAGAGGATTAACCAAGAAACAATCTTCTAGATAACAGTGATAATACCTAGGACACTGATTATTTAGGACAACGTAGAATTATTTATGAGTAACGTATAAACAAAATGCATTTGGATAATTCAGTGTCTTCATCAACAATCTGTTTCTTAAATGCTGTTCAAACCAAAAAATTTTTTTAAAGATTTTATTTACTCATGAGTGACAGAGAGGGGCAGAGAGAGAAGCAGGCTTCATGCAGGGAGCCCGAATGTGCGACTCGATCGCAGGACCCCTGGGTCACTCCCTGGGCCCAAGGCAGGCGCTGAACCACTGAGCCACCCAGGCACCCCCTCTTCAAACCAAATTTTAAGAACACTTAATTGCATTCCCTTACTTCCTTTAAATACTAAATTTAACAGGGATTATGGGGTTCAGCTGTAGTTTAAACATTTACAAGTTTTAGTGATTCTGCTTTAAATTATAAAGAAATCTTTATTTTTCTAGTTGAGAAGTTCCTGTCTTTTGGTTTGTAACTGGGACTGCCTTGTTTTTGGTTTTTTTCCTGTGCTAAAAAGCATTTGATTGTTCTAATCCTCTAAATTTATTAAACATCTTTTAATTGGAAAAAAAAAAGATTTTCCAGTTTATCATTTTGTTGTTTGAATACTGTTCTAAACATTTAAGTAAGTTTCTCTTTGTTGATGGTTATGTATTTCCTTTATAGGCTACTTTAAGAAAAATGGCTTTGTCAGCCCGTCAGATACCCAGATGGTTCAATTCAGTTAAATTGAGTAGCTTTGTTACAGCTATGCAACTGGGAAAACGTTTTCCAAGAGCAGGAAAAACATTGTTGCGTGGCGTTTCTGCTCAGCCACAGATGTCCTCTGGCAATTGCTTTCTCCAGTGGGGATTTAAGGCTTACAGGACTTCCTCCTTACGGAATAGTTCCCAGTCGGCCAACCCAAGTAGGCAGGAGATTGGTTCTGCCCAAAGTACTCTGCTTCCTTCTGTGAATGAACAGACACCGAAGACACAAAAGATACCCAGCCTTGATTCTGAGCTGTCTCTAGAAGGTAATTCTGAACTTCCAGAAAAGTCCCCTTTGGAACAAGTTAACTCTTAATAGTGTGTTAGCCCATTTCAAGGCATACTTTGTACCAGGCTAATAAGAGAACAATGCCAGTTCTATCCACTTACTTGAGAAAAAAAAAGTTTGTAGATTAATGTATATAATATTTTGTTACAGATGTATGTGTAAGAGTTGCTTTCTTAATACTTTATTACTTAGATTCTCTATAAAAATTTTTTCAGGTGGTAATTTAGGTTTTTTTAGGGTCTAATTTATCCTAATACTGTATTCCTGATTAGGATATAATTGTATCCAAGTAAAAGTCGTCATTTTTGAGCATAGAGTCCTATGAATTTTGCCAAACCTGTCTGGTAGTGTGACAGCCTCCACAATCAGCAAACCAAAAAGAACACAAATAGAACATCCCAAAAAGCTTGAGAGTAACTTGGAGGAGAGGGCATTGCACTGAAAGACGTTTCAGGGTGTAATGACCTTAACCCATACAAACCTGGCTGGTAGAATATGTTGTCCTTTGGGCCAGTTTAACAAGCTACAGTAGAATCTGTCTCAAAACATACTTGAAGGTGAGTTGGTCTTTAGCATTCTTACCTGTTGGTGGAAAGGGATTTTGTGTAGGACCTGCTCCTGACGAGGGGAAACCTACCACCGGATTTCTAACCTTGGAGCAACAGTGGTTGATTTCTCTAGAGTCGTAACCTTACCTCTCAGAAGGCAGATGTTGAACTTGTCAGACATGTAATTCTAAAGTGACCCAAAGATTTAAGGAGAGGCGAGCTCGGGAAGAGGCGTCGTGGTAGGGCGGGCTGGGAGCTGACGGCCTCTGTCTTTCCGTCCGGCGCCTGCCCAGCTCTGGACGACCTGCCCTCCCTGGCTCCCCTGCAGCCCGTCTCCGAGGAGGAGGCCATTCAGATCGTCGCAGACCCTCCGTTGCCCCCAGACACGTTCACCCTCCGAGACTACGTGGATCATTCCGAGACTCTGCAGAAATTAGTGCATTTAGGTGAGTCCGAACCGTCTGTGGGTGCTCGAGTGTATTCTTCTTTGTTTTTTTGCCTCACTTTGTTCAAATCAGCATTTGTAGTTTTTATCAAGATGAACAGAAGTCACATAGTGGGAAGAGGCCTTTCGTGAAAAACCATACTCTCCTTCCTGACCTCCATGCCGTTCCCGCGGGCAGCTCTCAACTTTTACGCTCCTCGGGTCTGTAGTTAACCCTGTTTATGTAACTGTTCATAGTGCCCTTGCTTCATTCATGGGTTTTAGACCTTAGCTGACCTCTCGTAGGTAGACATGTACTTCTCCCCTCTTCAACTTGCCCACTATAGTTATGGTTAACAATTTCTAGATGGATCATCAGCCAGCCTTATATTATGACTATAAATATTGTTTGCTGCTGTTCTCTGGCATTGTTTTCCTTCCTTGTACGTTTCATTTTTCCATAGTCGCTAATACTTCTTGTTTTTCCTTTGATTCATTTTCTTTATTTCTAGGGCCAAATCTTCCCACACTTCCAATAGCCTGCCTGTCAGGACAGATTTTTCTGCAGTAAGCCCTACCAGATCAGGAACTCCTTCCTCCTCCACCCTGCCTGCCCCCCACTGTTCCTCCTGGAGCCCACTGTCCCCCTAGCGTGGATGGGCTCTTCTGTCCTGGCCCGCTCCGTGACTGCTTGAGCCTGTGGGCTGGGAGGGGACGCGTGGGTCCGGGTGGCTGAAGGCAGCCAAGCCATCTCACCATCTCACTGCAGACCTGTACTCAGTCCTCTCCTGTTCTGTCCAGCACCTCACTGCAGCCTCTGGCTTAGTTCTCTTTCTAAAATGCCGGGCTGACCCTGTCAGTGACCTCCTGGAAATCCTTCAGAGCCTTCCCGGGATGTCACAGCTCTATCTAGTCTGGCCCCTGCTTCCCTTTTCAACCTCACTGCTTGCCCCTTCCCTCCTTTTTCCAGCTCTGACAACTGGAAGACTTAGTTCCAGCAACTTCTGAGATGTCCTCAGTGACCCTCCTCTGGGCCTCACATCACCCCGGGCTCAGTTCCTTTCTAGCCCTAATAACAGTACTACAGTTGTTTACTGACCTGCTCCTGCGTGAGTTGCCCGGATGTGCAGGGAATGGCCTTTGTCTTCAGAGGCATCTAAATATACTAAGGAATAACTGGGCTGCAAGGACGAAAGGTCCAATGGGAAGTGCCACATAAGACAAAGTGTTCTGTGGTTTCAAAGCGGAGAGAAAGATGACATCTGCAAAGGGAGAGGCAGTCCCCTTCCTTCTGCAGCAGCTTCCCCCAGCCTTAGGATAGGTGCTGTGGCCAGTACAAGATAAATACAAGACGTGGCCCCTGCCTTGAGATAATTTCCAGCATACTTGAGGGTTTGGGAATATGTTTCAGCCACTCCTTCATCTGTATGTTGACACGTCAACAGCACATCTGGGAAGTCACTTAAGTGACAGTACGTTGGAGGAGCCATGGTTGCATTGGCAGGGAGTAGTTGTGAGGACTCAAGTGTCCTGCTGCCTGTCTGCTTCTCAGATGTCTTTTCTGCCTTTGTCTGCCTCCCCTGTATCCCAGGAGGTCAGCCTCTATGCACCAGAGCTCCCTTGCCAGCTGGCTTCTGGGCAGCTTCGGCCAGGGGGAGGCCCTTGCAGGACAGGAGCGAGGGCAGGTGGGAGTATTTATTCCCCTGTTCCCTCCCTGCTTTGGGTCCTGTCACTGCCTGGCTCCATGCTCCATGACAACGGCTCCCACTGAGCAGCCCTTTCCTAGTGGCTTGCAGGCCCCCTGGGCTCAGGTAATACTTTGTGCTCCCTGCCTCTGGAGCACCAGGGGTGCCCTTGTTCGTTCCCACGACTCTCACTGACTGTGTCGAGTCCCTTCATTAGAGTTCTCTTTGTTCGCACGGTCCGGGGCGGAATCTGTCGCCCGCCAGACCTTGATTGATACACAAAATATGTGTGACCGTAAGCGAACACCGTGGTAATAATTGTAGTTAAGCGGTAAAAGCAACTTAGACTGCGGTCACCCAGAAGTTAGAGGCGTGTATTACTCGTTTAATATCCCCAGAGCTTGACAGAAGTGCCTGGTCCATAGTAGGAATTCCGTGACTATTTTTTCAAGTTAATGAAATCTTGAGGAAGCCCATGTGATTTGTGCTGACAGCAGTGTGCTCTCCTGATGAGATTCTGCTCTCCTATTGCTGTTAAAAAGCAGCTTTTCAGGATTTCTGTTTGAGCACAGTCAGGGTGTGACGGCTCATGCTGAGCAAGGCACTTCAGCACATGTCAGCTGTAAATTTGAAGTCTGAACCCTTTATTTTTAAAGCACCCCTTCCCACATTTATCACAGATTCTTGGAACTAGTTTCTGTCTTTATCTATCCATCCAATAATTTGACTTGTTATTAATATTATTTTTAAACTATAACAGAATTCCATCTCCTTGTGAATAATGCAAGTGTTAAAGAACTCTCACCTTCTTTTCATACCCGTTTCCACTTTCCAAAGGTAACCCTGTCACCAGTCTGTTGAATAGCTTTCCCCACCTTTTTCTGTGCAAATATATTTATTATAGAAAGCCGTACCTGGGCTTTATATTTTTATGTATTAAAGCTTAATATTTTTAACACTGTTTTCTTCCAGTAGTTTTAGAGTTAGTACATAGTTAGATTCTTAATCTTTCTGAAAATTTTCTATCAGATACGGAAGGATTTTTTTTCTTTGGTTTAAGTATAATTGACGTTATATAGTTTCAGATACACAACATAATGATTCAGTAGTTCTGTGCATTACATCATGCTCACCATGGTAAGTGTAGTAATGGAAACATTTATTTTTCAAATGTATAGGTAGTGGTCCCATTATGTCGTGATGAATCGTACATCTTTTCACCATTAATTAGAAGTGCCATTATTATCATATGCTAATTTTTTATTTTATTTATTTAGTTGATCCTGGATCTGTTTCGAGTCTCCATTCTGTATGTGTGTTTGTGTAATCTGTTTTTCTGTTCACGATCATCTTATATCAATGCCTGTTTAATATCAAATTTGGGTTTAGAATTATGTTTGGATCTAATAATATATGAAATTATAATTTATTTTTCTGGTTGTGTATACCATTAAAGAAAGGATGTTTTTATTTCATTGCTCTTATATTTAAGACTTTAAAGTTACATCCGGAAATCAGTTTGAGAGTTATTTTGCACCTGAAGAAATATTTTTAAGACTATAAAATTTAAGTCTACCTTAGGGTTTTACATTATCTTCAAATGTTTACTCTAAAGGTAAGGAATAGCCCTTTCCTGTTCATGGTTTTTCTTTTAATCAGATAAAAGAGGAAAAAAATGAGAGAATAAAATGCTCAGTTTTAATGAGAATTTTTAATTACAGGTTACTTTGTTTCCCTGCCTAATTAACATTGCCATCTAATTATATTCATAACCAGAGAATACTTTAACAACTTGCTTTCTCCTGTGCCTTATCTCACGTTCTTAGACTGCCTGAGATTATAAGGATATCTGAAGGTTAAAGACTGTAAACTTTCTTCTCTGTTATCTATTTGAGGGCTGTATATGCTCACCTGTTCTCACACAGGATTTCTTGAGCTCCTTCAAGGTACATGTCTCCATGCTGAAGGCCCGGAGATTATAGTGAGAAGACATAGAGTTATTTTTATTCCCCCACCTGGAGGGGATCAGAAGCATATTTTGAAAATAATCCTTATGACTAAGGAAATGACGACATCAAATAAAGTAACTATTCAAAGGGTTTGTTACACGGCAGAATTACGAGTTAAGCAATTACTGTGGAGATCACTAGGGGCTCATAAGCATCCTTCACACAATATTCAAGAAACCATGGATTAAGATGATGATCCTAGCTAGGGCAGTATGATTCAGTGAATTTGTTCTGGGTAGGAATTTAGCCCCGAGTGCACTGTTTTCCTTTATATGTGACTTTGAAATAAATACTACGTCTTCATTTTCATTTAATTTTGTTTCTGCAACCAGTTTAGTTTAAATATATTTAGAAATTTCTATTGGCCTATCTCAGTTCTCTTTTGGGCGGGTTGTTGATCTTCATCTGTAATTCCTTGTGTTTTTATGTATGATGTTTAATGACCTAGCCAAACAGTATGTGTAATTTATTGTAGGAGTGGATCTCTCAAAGATAGAAAAACATCCAGAAGCAGCCAACCTCCTTCTGAGACTGGATTTTGAAAAAGACATTAAGCAAATACTCATGTTTCTTAAAGATTTGGGTATAGAAGATAACCAGCTGGGAACATACCTGACTAAAAACTATGCTATTTTCTCTGAAGACCTTGAAAATCTTAAGACCAGGTGGGGCTTTTACAATGATTTTTGCATAACCCAAGAAGTGGTTATGAAGGAAATGTGTCTGTCTGTAAGTTATTTTTAAGACTTTGCTGCCTAATGATCAGCTGATAATGAACATGAATGTTAATTTTTTTTGGTTACGGACTTTCTTTGATCAAGGTTAAGTATCTAAAATAGTTCTTTTGCTCAACTTCTCATTTTTATGTGTTCAATTATTGCTGAGTCAATACTTAACTGTTTCTCTTCAGAAACCATAATAAAAAAAAATTAAGCCATTAACAAATGGCTAAATGGCTGGGAGTGCACTTAGAGTTATGAAAGTCTGAACTTCTGTGGATTGTTTTAATTTTCTGGGCAACTTTTGACATCCTCTTGGCACATTGTTGTATAATTTGCTTACTCACTTCCGTAAGTTGGCTATTTTGGTGGTTTCTTTTTTTCCTCTTTACAAAGCACTTCCATAAACCTCTTTATATTCATTCAGCATTTAAAGAATTGATTAGATCTGTGAGAATCGATACAGGGAGATGAGATAGCATTGATCTGTGAGATAGCAGTCCTGCTAGGCTTTGGGACCGTCCCTAAGTTCACCTTTTGAAGTGATCATCCTTCCTACTTCCCACCTAAGTCAGTTCTTCCCTGTATTTCCAGATTTACTGAGTAGGATCACTGCTCATCTTGTTGCCCAAGTCAGAAATATTGCTATTAACTTTGGCTTCTCTTCTTTTATCTTACTTTTTAAAAAATATTTTAGCTATTTTAGAGAGAGAGAGCATGCACAAGCAGGGGGAAGGGCAAAGGGAGCAGGAAGCCTGATCCCAGGACCTTGAGATCATGACCTAAGTGGAAGGCAGACCAGACCCTTAAGCAACTGAGCCACACAGGCACCTCGGCTCCTCTTCGTTTACTATCCACGTTAATATATCACCTACCAATTCTGTTTTTGTCTCTCAAATCAGTTAACTCATTTCTCTTAATCTTCACTGTGAAGATCACCTCGGGTTCCCATTTCACATGAAGATTGCTGTAAGTCTCCTTACTGGCTGCCTCTGGTCTTCACCCCCAGGTTATCCTCACACTGATGGTGAGCCTCACTGCATTTCAGTGAACCGTGCAGTTCCTTGAACCATCAGAGTCCAATGCCTTGTCTCTAAGTTAGGAAAAGTTTCCCTAACACTGAACAACTTGAGCTCCTGTATACGCAAGGCACTAAGTTAGACTTGAGCCACAAAGGATAAACATACACACGTCTCTCTTCATGGGACTTACATTCTGGTATAATATAGACAAACTGTTACAGGGGAGAGGAGGAGTGATTCTAGGAGACTCGGTCTGACATAACCAGCTCTGCTGCTGCCAACTGCCTGGAACATAATTGCTATATGTTTCTAGAAATGCAATTGCTAGGTGAAAAGGTATGTACATTTTTAATCTTAATAGATAGCGACAAATTGTCCTTTGTAGGGTGGTTTTCCAGCTTACACTCCCACCGTCATATGGAAGTGCCAGTTTCCCTCTTACCCTCACTAATACGGGGTCATCAAACTTCATGGTTTCAGTTCATTTTATAGATTAAAACCATGCCTCGCTGTTGTTTCAGAAATGTGTGGAGGATCTTTTCCTATGTTGAATTTCTATTTACGTCGCCTCTTCTATAAATCACATATATCCTCTGTCATTTTAAAATGAAGTATTTTTCTTTTGTAAGCATTCTTCTATATTTTAACAAAATTAGTTATTTCTCTGTGACATGTTTTAATACTTACCACTTTGATTTTGTCAATAGTTAGGGGGATTCCCTTGCATTTTAAATTTTTATATAGTTAAATTTATCAGTTTTTTCTCTCGTGTCGTCTGAGTCCCTTAAAGGAATAGGAGTCACTTATAAAACATTAGCTCTGATGGTTTACAGTATAGAAGTTTCATAGGCATTTTGTTTTTTTCTGGTGAGAATTAAGCAAGATAATGTTCTGGTATACTGTAAACATTTAATAAAACTCCCTTTTACTATGTTTATAAACAGCTTTTAAGAATCAGCAATGTTATTTCGTAGTCAAACCTACTTTTACTACTTTATTTTGGTTCCCAGAAACTTAGGAAATTTCTTAGCTGTTAACAAAATGCATAATGGAAATCACAGGAAAATTTTTTTTGTACTTTTTTATTGGATTTTGATTTGCCAACCTATAGTATAACACCCAGTGCTCATCCCATCCACTGACCCCCTCAGTGCCTGTCACCCAGTCACCCCATTCCCCCCACCTCCCTTTCCACTCCCCCTTGTTCATTTCCCAGAGTTAGGAGTCTCTCACATTTCATCACCCTCTCTGATACTTCCCACTCATTTTCTCTCCTTCCCTTTTAATTCCTTTCACTATTTCTTATATTCCCCGTATGAGTGAAACCGTATGATGATTGTCCTTCTCCGACTGACTCACTTCACTCAGCATAATACCCTCCAGGTCCATCCACGTCAAAGCAAATGGTGGGTATTTGTCATTTCTAATGGCTGAGGAATATTCCAGTGTATACATAGACCACATCTTCTTTATCCATTCATCTTTCGATGGACACCGAGGCTCCTTCCACAGTTTGGCTATTGTGGACATGGCTGCTAGAAACATCGGGGTGCAGGTGTCCTGGCATTTCACTGCATCTGTATCTTTGGGGTAAATCCCCAGCAGGGCAATTGCTGGGTCGTAGGGAAGGTCTATTTTTAACTCTTTGAGGAACCTCCACACAGTTTTCCAGAGTGGAAAACTGCACCAGGTCACATTCCCACCAACAGTGCAAGAGGGTTCCCCTTTCTCCACATCCTCTCCAACATTTGTGGTTTCCTGCCTTGTTAATTTTCCCCATTCTCACTGGTGTGAGGTGGGATCTCACAGTAAAAATTACTTTTGAAAATACATGCTCAGTAAATTTGCTAAACTAAAAAAATTCCTCTTTCGATTTCCACCATGCTTGAGGGTCTTTGGAATCTCTTAATTTAATTTATGGATTTTCTGTTCTTAGCAAAAAAAAATTCTTAAATAGAAGCTATTTATTTTTTTTTTTACCAAGTAATAAAATAAGTCAGATTAACTAAAAAGAGTATCTATTAGATTAGAAAATTATTTGGTTTCCAAGTATAAATGGGAAACCATTCTAGAATTGGATGGGTGCTTGTTTTGCTTTAACCATATTTGAGCCATTATCATGGAATGTTTTTTATCTCTTGTTTGTTACTGTGGAAAGTAGCATGACATTAGTAAATGTTAATTATAGGTACTGTGTTTTTTTTGTTTGTTTCTCTAGAGTGGCTTATCTACAATCAAAAAATTTCAGTAAGGCACAGATTGCACAGATGGTCAGAAATGCGCCGTTTTTGCTGAGTTTTTCAGTGGAAAGATTGGATAACAGATTGGGATTTTTTCAGAAAGAACTTGAACTCAGCGTGAAGAAGGTAAAGAAAAGAGAATTTGTCTATTTCCATGTGAGCTACATTTAGTAACTTAAATCTCACGTTTCTCACAGATGCCTGGCCCATATAAATGCCAGGTATATTTGTACAAGAATGAATTACTCTACTGGTTAAATATATAGCTGTATCATTTTATAATATTCCATCAAGTTGGTGCCTTAAATTTTATTTCCAGTATTTGTTTTTTTTCTCAATCAGTATTAAGTTTATGTATTTTCCGGGTTCCTAGCATTTTTTCTGATTGGCTCATATTTTAAATTTTCATTTTGTGTTCCTAGCAATGCCTTGTTTTCCCAAACTAGTTGGATGTCCATGTATAGTAATAACGGATTGTTTTATAACTGTAGACTAGAGATCTGGTCGTTCGTCTCCCAAGACTACTAACTGGAAGCCTGGAGCCTGTGAAAGAAAACATGAAGGTAGGTCGACTTTAAGCTTTTCAGAAATCAGCTTCTTTCTCTACGTGCTTAAGAGGAGGATGGAATTTGCTCTGTCATCTTAAAACCAGATTGTGAAAGAAGTCATTTCTTAAAAAAAAAAAAAAAAGTCATTTCTAAAAAGATGGACAAAGAAATGATACAATAAATACCTAGCAGGCAGTTTTTGGTAATAATACGTTCACGTTTCCCAGGTCTTACAGGCGTGAATCACCTTGCAGACGCTGATACCAGTAATCCCAGAGTAGTGCATTAGGGGGCGGGTGATACCGGGAAACTGCGCCTGTTGCCCAGTCTGAGACCCCAGGTTTATGTCACCTCGGCGGGAGAGGAGTCTTGGAGGCTGGATCCAAAAGACATTGGTGAAGAGACCAGTGGCAACATGTTGCTCTCCTCAGACTGTGCCCACTGGCAGCTCTCTGTCACAGGACATACCAGACACTCCCAAGACAACAAGGCCGCGGAGTAGTTAGTTAGTATACAAAGCTGTAGGAGTATTTAAAATTTAAAAACCTACAGTGTTCCGTGTCCAGTTGTTGAAATATTATTGAGCAGCTGCCCATGTGCTGTGCTGGGGTGACAGTCCCTGCTCTCATGGGGCTTAGGACCCAGTAGGGGCAGCGCATGCAGAGTAGTAAGAGCAGCGGGTTGCTCAGGGAGCAGAGGACCTAACACACGTTCGGGTAGTTAGTTTTATCATCTGTGGCATTTTGGCATGTAGTTTCTCCAGATAACATGTAAATGAGTGTGACTGGGAGTGGAGACTCAAAAAACACTTTGAAAATCTTAACAGCTGGTCTGTGGTGTAGGGCCTGTTACAGCCAGCCTGACCAGGCTTTCCATATCCACCATCCTTGTGTCTCATCGTGACGACAGCTCCTGTTGGTGATCTTGGTGATAATCCCCAGGCTGTCAGCAGTTCTTCTCAGGAGAGGGGCTTGAAATTCAGGTTACCCCACGAGCAGGAAGCCACGGACCCTGGCACAGCTGTCCCCAGATTCTGGTGTCCTCGTTTCAAATTTTAAAGGAGTCAGTGTGTCCTCTGGCATATTACCAAGATGAATGTTTCCATTCCCGATGCAAGCAACTCTACTTTCTTTTAGGTTTATCGTCTTGAACTAGGTTTTAAACATAATGAAATTCAACATATGATCACCAGAGTCCCCAAGATGTTAACTGCAAATAAAAGGAAGCTTACTGAGACTTTCGACTACCTGCACAATGTGATGAGCATTCCCCACCATCTCATTGTCAGGTTCCCCCAGGTAAGGAGCACACAGCCCTCTCAGAGCTGTCATCGCCCTTTGCCCAGAACTGTTCTCTGGGTGTTCTGCAAAAATTATTTACTGTTTGGGAAGTATTAGACCAATACAGACTGGTTCTGAGATTGACACTGGCAGTAAGGTCGTATTTCTATTGCCCATCTTGTAAATCAACAACATACCTAACACATGGAGTTGAGGGATCACTTGTGAAAAGTATACAACTTCTAGGCACACATGTCCATCTCCGGAGGAGACACAGGGACGAATCTGTTTCCCTAGAGTTGTTACCTACTGCTCATCCTGCCTTTTGGAATCTAACGCATTCCCAAGTGTGTTTTTTTTCCCATTTAAATTGGGAATAAGATCACTTCCCCGAAGGGTCCTTTCAGTTCTACGTGTACTTTTTATTCACAGTCTATCTTAATCCATCAGTTAGGAGCACCTGGGTGGCTCAGTTGGTTAAAGTGTCCAACTTTTAGTTTCAGCTCAGGCCATCATCTCATGGATTCTGGAATCGAGACCCACGTTGGGCTCTGTGGCAGTGGAGAGCCTACTTGGGATTCTCTCCTTCTCCCTGACCCCTCCAGGGTGTGTGTGTGCGCGCATATGCGCGATCTCTCTTTCTCTCCCTCTCCCCCCCCTCAAATAAATAAATAAACCTTTGTAAATAAATAAATAGATCCATTAGTTAATAAGCCATATTGTAATCATCTCCTACCAAAGTATAAAACAGTTATAGTTTACTGTTGTGCCAAAGCCATTTTTATATTTTCCAAGCTAATCAGACGTCCCTGTTCTTTAGCAAGTGACATTATCTGCTTGTTCACAAGAATGTTAACTCTCCGAGGGCAGAGATCCTGTCTGATTTATACATTGCCGGATTTCCAGCGTCTGGAAGTACACCAGGACTTTTAGTAGGCACTGGATAAATATTTGCTGAACCAATGAATGACTGAATTAAATCAAAGTCATCCTTCTTTCCTTTTTGCCATCTGACTAGACCCTCCGTATTCACTGGATAAATGAAGGTTGAAATTCATTAAAGTGACCTCCCTACTCTGTTCGCTACACGTGTTCTTGATGTAAAAATAGGCGGAGGAAATAGGACTTTCATATAACTCAAAACTAGATTGCATTTGGTATAATTCCTTCACAAACAGCAATGTTTATTTACCTATCATACTTCGCTATGAATGAGCCCTTAATAGAGAACTTTTGTTTCATTAACTGTATATGTATTCATTAAAAATGCAGTGCTACAAACTTGGCTTAATGGAACAATCATAAAGTAAGTGGTCTTCAAGTAAAACGCAAAAATGATTAGTTTTCCCCTGGGCTGTTAGGTAATTAATAATAATTAATAACCGGATTTGGGGATACAAAAATCAATCAGACATGATCTGTATTCTTGGAGAATCTGTAATCTAGTGTGGAAGACAAGTCCCTAACATGTAATTGACTTACATAGTGTTAGAGTCTTAACCAGGTACCTTATATAGAACTGTTAATTTAGAAGAGGTAGGAAAATTATAGAAATAATGAGAGCTACTGAGTGCTCATTGTGTGCCAGCTGTCTTCACTGCTTTACTTGTATTCATTCATTTAATCCTCACAGCCACCATCTGAGATAGGTACTGTTGTTAGCCCTATTTCACAGGTGACAATGTAAGCATGAAAGGACTGTCCAAAGGTTACCCAGGTAACGGGGCCGAGCCAAGATTAGAACTCTGGCAGTTAGGTATAAAAACATGCTCTTAACTAGGGTGCGCTACCATCTAAGACCTGGCATTTGAGTTGTCAGTAGAACGAGTCGGGGGAGGGGACCCTTAGGGGGCTCAGCAGTTTAGGGCGGCCTTCAGCCTGGGACGTGATCCTGGAGACCTGGGATCGAGTCCTGCGTTGGGCTTCCTGCCTGGAGCCTGCTTCTCCCTCTGCCTGTGTCTCTGCCTCTCTCTCTCTCATGAATAAGTAAGTAAAATCTTAAAAAAAAAAAAAAAAAACAAGTTGGGGGTTGCAGAGGTGGACAGAAACTATGAACTTGACCGGATGCATCAAAATAATTTGTTTAAAAAACAGACTTTTGGGCACCTCAAACCCTTGCTTCTGGGAAGTCCAGTTACAGAACTGGGACTTCCTTATTGAGATTCTCAGACTTGTAGGGGTCTGGGGTCTGGCTAACATTTAAAAAAAAAAAAAAAAGGAAGATACACATTAACTGACTGGACTGTGAGGGAACCGGTGGACTTGAAATCTTTGGCTGGTGCTTTAGAAACTTCGTGGTATGAAGCCAATTTTCTCTTGTAAAAAACAAGTTCTCGTTGGCCTGTTTCTGACTCCTTTCTAAAGTTGCTGCCGCTCATGCTACTCCTTGAGTTTTAACCCCAAGACCGGCAGGACCGCTTTCCCCAGTTGCTCCCCAGAGGCTGGGTTCCTTCATTCCAACACTAAGCAGAGAGCGGGAGCAGCAGGAATTTCACAAAAGTAAGGAAGCTCCACAGATCGTGAAGCTTTTTGGTGCCAATAGACCTTGATCTCCAACTTTGGTTCTCAAACTTGGCAGTCATCAGAATCACCTGGGGAACCGGTGGGCCCCAGAGTTGCTGTTAAGTATTTTGGGGCAGGGCCAGATGATTTGCGGTTTTAACATCTCCTCCATCTGGATTACCCAATGTTCTTTGCCTACAGTATAGCCCTTAATTACTCTATAATTGTCCTGTTTGTTTTGAGTCCCTTTTGAATCATCATTTTTTAGCAGAAGCTATATGGTTTAAGGCCTGTGGCATTTATCATAGTTACCGAGCATGTGTCAGTACTTTATCATTGTTAGCCTAATCAAAATTTTCAGCCAAATAAACAGTTTAATAGGTCATCTTTCAGTGCACGTTTTTAAAGACTTTTTTTTTTTTTTTAGGTGTTTAATACAAGGTTGTTTAAAGTCAAAGAAAGACATTTGTTTCTTACCTATTTAGGAAGAGCACAGTATGATCCAACAAAACCTAACTACATCTCTCTGGACAAGTTTGTGTCTGTACCTGATGAAATATTCTGTGAGGAGATTGCCAAAGCCTCAGTACAGGACTTTGAGAAATTCTTAAAAACTCTTTAGTGTTTGATGAATGTTAAGATGTAATAATGTAAAATGAATGTATATATGAGTGAATACTACATGTTTTTAAATAAATGCCTCAGGCCTCCATTAATGCTGGAAACAATTTCTTGACTCTGTGAATGTGGGGACGCCTGTGGCAGATCCTTCTCACAAGTTCGAGTGACTTACTTTTTCTTCGACTCTCATTTCCTTCCTTCTTCGGGAGGACAGAACTTAAAGCACAGCAAGCTGAGGGAAGGAGACACTTCCCCATAGGCTGGCACACCGTCCCGGGGAGGACGAGGACAGAGGCTTCCCTTTGACATTGGCAGGCCTTCCAAGGTGGTTTCATCACAAGACCTCTATATTTTCTGTGACGTGTTACGAGCTTCTGGAACATGCTAGATCACATCCACCTAATAGCTACTATTCACGTAGATAATGCGATAAAACACATTCCAGTCTGGACGATCTGCACTGTCCCCTTCCTGAGCATAGATACTCACATTTGCCCACAATCGGCTACTGAGAACCAGGAAAGGAGAAAGGGTGGGGGCGGGGGGAGTAATGTGACAGTAAGTAAAGGGCAAGGAGACCTGGTAAAAGGCCACAGCAAACCTCTGACTTCCTGCCAGTAGGCAAAGATCTGCAGCATGAAAGGATAGTCTTTTCCCCATCTATCATTTAGACATGTGATCCCGGGCCAGTAATTTAACGCCTGGGTCAGACTGTTACTTGTGAAGCCAGGCCTGTGGCTTCAGCCGTCTGCCCGGGGATCACAAGCTTGGGCGGACAGTTAACACTGGTGGCTTCCAGTGAACCCCCCTGGTACGTGTTCTTGTCTCCTTCCACACGGACTCTGGGCCAATGAGACATCATCAGGCAGAGGCTGGAGAAGGACTTGCACGCTGGGACTTGTCCTCTTGAAACATTTGTCCTGGGAACCCGGAGCCAGCACGTAAGGAGGTTGCGTGACTGTTGGAGAAACGAGGTGGAGAGGAGGCGCCCGGCCAAATCTCAGCTACTCCGCCCATGCCGAGGCAGCACCAGACGTGTGGGGGAAGACGCCACCTTAGACGTTTCAGCCTCAGCAGGTACAATGTGCAGCAGCACAATCCAGCTGAATTCAGAATTGGGCTAAGAAAGGGTTTTGAGGACAGCCCAAGCGGCTCAGCGGTTTAGCGCCACCTTCAGCCCGGGGTGTGATCCTGCAGACCCGGGATCCATCCAGTCCCACGTTGGGCTCCCTGCCTGGGTCTCTGCCTGGGTCTCTGCGTGCGTGCGTGTGTGTCCCTCATAAATAAATAAATAAAATCTTAAAAAAAAGGGGGGGTTGAAACACTAACTTTGGGGGTACTCTTGTGCACCAGGGTCCTGTGGTGTTGTATGTCCAGAAGCCTCATGAGAAACTAAATTTTTCATGGATCAGGGCCAAGTATATTGGCCTTCCTGTTAGGTTTTATTCATGTACCCAACAGACATCAGAGTCCCTAAAGGGCAGTGTTGAGTGTGGCATAGATACGTGCCTTTGTGGAGTTCTCTAATGGGTGGGATCAATACACAGGAAACAAGGTTCAGCTAAAAGACAAAGCCTGGAACCATCTCAACTGGTATTTCTATGGCTCAGAACCTCATTTTGCCTTTACCAACGAACCACTTGTATCAGAATAGGCTATAATGAGCAATCCTAAAGCCTGGCGTGGTTTTTTTGTCTTCTTTTTTTTTTTATGGTTTTACTTATTTATTAGAGCACGAAGGTGAAGGAGGAGCAGAGGGACAGGGAGAAGCAGACCCCCCCCCCCCCCGACAGGCAGGCAGCCCAATGCAGGGCTTGATCCCGGGACTCAGTCCCAGGACCCTGGGATCATGATCTGAGCTGAAGGCGAAAGCTTCACCGACTGAGCCACCTAGGCGCCCCCCGTATCTTAAATGTTTTTAAACCACAGAAGTTTTTATCTCATACATGTCCAATTTGGGACCAAAAAAAGCTCTGCTTCATATCACCTTTAGTGACAGAGGTTAATGGAGCCTCCACTGCGTCTTAAGTGTAGCCAATCTATGAAAGGGAAAAGGAATGTGAACTGATCTTAAAAACTACCCATACTTTTCTCGGCCAAAGGGCCATGCCTAGTTTTAAGCGAGCAGAGAAATGCAATCCTACCCACAGGCCTAGACGGAAATCAAACATAATTTTTGCCTTAGTACTAAAGATGGGGGCATCTGGGTGGCTCAGTCAGTTAAATGGCTGCCTCTCACGAATAAGTAAATAAAATCTTTCAAAAATTACTAATAACTGCCAACAAAAGTCCAGGACCTCTAGGCTCAATACCTAAAGAAGCTGGATTCCGTGACAGTTTTGGGTACCTGGTCTCCTGACAAGGTCCTCCTTCTCTTAACCACCTTCTCTGTGTAACCAGCAAGCTGAATCTTTTTTTTTTATTTTTTTTAATTTATTTATGATAGAGAGAGAGAGGCAGAGACACAGGCAGAGGGAGAAGCAGACTCCATGCACTGGGAGCCCGACGTGGGATTCGATCCCGGGTCTCCAGGATCGCGCCCTGGGCCAAAGGCAGGCGCCAAACCGCTGCACCACCCAGGGATCCCCAGCAAGCTGAATCTTAAGGGTAACAAGGGAAAGAGAGTTTACGGAGTACTTCCTGCAAAGCAACGTGCCAGTGTTCAAATGCATTGCATTTCTTCACATCTTTCAGACTTCACTTTGGCCTGTGTAGTCTAGAAGCAGACATTCATCCGTTTTTGGTGCTGCATACAGAACTGGTGGCACAAAGAAGAAAAAAGGTGATGGCAACCAAAGCTCAGAACTGGCATGTGACTAAGACCATTAAATCTAACCTTTGGATTTACAGTGAGATGGGAGTTCCATATGGTCCCAGTTCTCAGCTTGAGCCTGGAGGAAACAAAAGTAGGTATTTGTGGGTACTTGTTATGACCTGAATGGTGTCCCCCCAGGATGCATGTTGAAACCCTAACCCCCAATGATAGGACTTTTGGAGGACAGGGCCTTCCTACTGCGAATCGGGCCCTTGGAAGACACAAAGCTCTGGCTCTGTCTCTCCCCCGTGAGGACACCGGGAGAAGGCAGTCCTCCGAAGCCCACAGGAAGAGCTCTGCCCTGCTCTCCGGCTGCCAGCTTCCGGAACTGTGAGAAATACATTTATTTTGTAAGCTATCCAGTCTACGGTGTTTTGTCGCGGCGACGTGAGCTGACGGGAACAGCGTACAAGTTCACCAGTAACTGGGTCGGTCGCACTGATTGTTTCCGCCCCTAGATTTTGATGCCTTAGACTTAAGGGGCTGAGACCTCGGGAGTCTGTCTACATCTGGGGACCCCTGGGGGGCTCAGTGGTTGGGCTCTGCCTGTGACCCAGGGCGTGACCCCGGGGTCCTGGGATCGAGTCCCATGTGGGGCGTGGAGCCTGCTTCTCCCTCTGCCTGTGTCTCTGCCTCTCTCTCTCTCTCTCTGTGTCCCATGGATAAATAAATAAAATATATCTTAAAAATTTAAAAAAGGAGTTTACCTCTCCTTAAAATTGCACACATAAAAAAAAAATAAAAAAATACAGGTGACCTGCACTGAGGGGGGGGGGGTACTTGGCGGGATGCGCACTGGGTGTTATGCTATATGCTGGCAAACTGAACTCCAATAAAAAAATAATAATAAAAAAAAATTAAAAAAATTAAAAATTCAAAAAAATTTTAAAAAATAAACACAATCGCACGCAAATTCTGTTACCCGTCTTAGATCTAGTGTTTTGGCGGCCTCCGCGAAGGCGCTCGGCGCAGCCCTTGGGCGGGGGCGGGGGCGGTGGAGGTCAGCGGGGGTCAGCGCTCCCGGGCCCAGGGTCACGGGGTCACGGGGAGCCTGGGCCCTCCCTGGCGGCCCTTCCGCGCCTCCGTTTCCTCCGCACCACGGGGACCGCGGAGGCACTGACCTTACGGACGGAGAACCAGGTGCGAGCGTCCAGGTGAGAAGGCGCAGGTGCGCTGAACCCCGTGCGCCAGCCCTGCGGAAGCGCCTCCTCCCCAGGCTGACGCTCTTCCCGGAAGCTCAGCCGACGCGCTTCCCGGAACTGGGCGCCCGGCACGCCCGCCCCGCCCCCCCCCCCCCCGGCGTCGCGCACGTCACCCGCAGAGGTCGGCTGCAGACAATGCGCCTGCGCGGGCGTCCTACGTCGCCCGGCAACGCGACGCAGGGTGCCTGCGCACCGGGCCCCCCGCGTCCTCCAGGACTTACCCAGCAGGCCCCGCGGCAGCCTCGGTCAAGATGGCGGGCAGGTCAGGTGAGTCCCCGGCGGCCTCCCGGGCGGGCGCGGCAGTGCTCAGCCTCGTAGCGGGTCGCTCTGCGTCCTCCCCGAGCGGCCGGGCGTGCGGCAGCCTCCGGGTCGCCCCCGCCCCCGCCGCTCCGCCCCGGGCCGGGCTCGCCGGGACGGGGAGGGGCTCCGGTGCCGGCCGCCCGCGCTCAAGGGCAGAGGCCGTTAGTCCCGGACGCGGAACCGAAAGGAACGGAGCGCCCCGGAGCAGGCCCCGGCGCGGCCGGCAGCTCCCCGGCCTCGTGCCCGCGGGGACGCGCTGTCCGTGCCCCGCGGCCGGGGGTCCGCGCGCTTCTCCCGCCGACGCGCCTCGGGCGAACCCCCGGTGGCCGGGCCGGGCGGGCGGAGCCGCAGGTATCTGCGGGTGCTGCGGGCGCGCAGGCTCGGGCCCCGGGTCCCCGCGATCTCCAGACGGCTGCTGCGCGCCGCACCCGCACCCCGATCGCGGCCCCCGGCACCCCCCGACCACACCCCTCACACTCCGATCGCGACACCCGCACCCCGATCGCGGCTCCCGCGCACCCCGATCGCGGCCCCCGGCACCCCCCGACCACACCCCACACACTCCGATCGCGACACCCGCACACCCCGATCGCGGCTCCCGCACACCCCGATCACGGCCCCGCACACCCCGATCGCGACACCGCACCCCCAATCGCACACCCGGATCGCGGGACCCGCACCCCCGATCGCGCCCCCGCACACCCGATAGCGGCCCCCACACCCCTAATTGCACCCCCGCACACCCCCATCGCTGCTCCCGCACCCGGATCGCGGCCCCCCGCACACCCCGATCGAGGCCCCGCACCCTGATCGCAGCCCCCGCCCCCCGCAGACTTAGACCCGAGCGGCTTTTAAATGATAGCGGCTCCATTCTCTTGGCCCCCCTCGCCCCCTGCAGCGGTGAAGCTCCTAGTTAGTTGCCCATCGCATGAAAATCCCGCTCGTCTCCGTGGGGTCGGGTCGAGCCTTGGGAGGTGACGTTTAAGAACTGTGTCGATTTGACAGATCCTGGGAGGCGCTGTGCGGCGCGTGTGGGACGCAGCCTCCGGGCTGGCCTCCGGGGCTCCCGGGCTCCCGGCTCGGTGGGACAAGTTCGCAAGCCTGCTCCCCTGCTAGGACGGGCCGCAAGTACCGGCGAGGGGGGAAAGCAGGTCGGGTAGTGCCTGCTGCTGAGTATGTCCTCCATCACTGCGTTTGTGCAGTGCCTCTTTGCTACTTGTTTTTCTTTCCTTTTTTAAAAAAAAAAAAAAAGATTGCATTTATTTATTCATGAGAGACACAGAGAAAGGCAGAGACACAGGCATAGGGAGAAGCAGGCTCCCTGCAGGGAGCCGGACCTGGGACTCGATCCCAGGACCTTGGTCAAGGCCTGAGCCAAAGGCAGATGCCCAACCGCTGAGCCATCCAGGGGTCCCGATACTTGTTTTTTCCAGAAGCGATCTTTTCCATGGTGCTTGATCTTCAAGATCTACCAAAGCTGTGTAATGCATGCTCTACTAAAGAGTAGGGAGGAGGAGTCAGAAGAAAAGAAGAGCTTGCTTGTATCCCTCAATGAAAGGCTGGGGAAATTTTAGAAGGAAATTTAAGCTTTTGTACCTCCCCTCGTTACTACATGCTTCCTGGGGAGCTCAGGCACCAACGCCTTGCCCCAGGCTCAGTCCTGCTGCCCAGAGAGCATGCACGTTCCCTGTGTCTTCTCTGTTTCAAATACCCATTTCCGGGTTGGAAGGTTAGCTACTTGGGAGGAGGAAAATGGGCTGCTTCTATTAATCCATGTTAATTTTAGGGGGATCCCTGGGTGGCTCAGCAGTTCAGCGCCTGCCTGTGGCCCAGGGCCTGATCCTGGAGACCCAGGATCCAGTCCCACGTCGGGCTCCCTGCATGGAGCCTGCTTCTCCCTCTGCCTGTGTCTCTGCCTTTCTCTCTATGTCTATCATGAATGAATAAATAAGTAGAATCTTAAAAAAATAATTATTTTAAATGACTGGCTAATGGTATCAAAATCCTCCCAGAAATACGTGTATTCTTAAAGACAGTAGCCAGGTGAAGCAAAGGTAACACAGAAAACAGATTCTGGAGGATGCAGGTCCCTGGGACCTGCCAGCCTACCCTGAAGCCTCCCCTTCTTTTCATAGAACTCCCAACTCCCTTGAAAAGAAAGGTTCACACTTCCTGGATTTTATTTCCGAGATTACAGAAAACGAAGGAGTTCTTGGTTCCTTTCCCACAGCCTCCCCTTCCATTCTGACGGTACAGGGTTCACTAAAAACGAGGGTCTTGGCTTGCACAGGCTGGCGTGCCGCTAACTACTCTTGTACATCATGTGCTCGACTTTACTTTTTTTTTCCATGACTTGCTCCCCAGTTTTTTTTTAACCTGTAATCACTTTTGCTGATAGATAAATAAGAAATTTTTATCCACAGTACACAGTACGTACACTTTCAAAAGGAAATTCCTTCCTATGTTTGCAATTCTCTAATGAGGTCGCTCCTTTCGTACTGGTTCTTGGCCCATCCAAGAACCAGTATACTGGTATCCCACTTAGTATAATGGGCCCATCCCACTTAGTATACTAAGTGAATCGTAGCAACTAACACTGTGACAATATCAGTTGCAGCATCAAGCCGGTGGCTGGAGGGCATTCGGAAGTGGTATTACAATGCTGCAGGGTTCAATAAACTGGGTGAGTATCCGGTTTTCCCTTGGTTTTCTTTTTTTGCTTTTCTGAGAGTAGTGCTTTTTTGCAAGACTTATCATGATTCCCAAAAACAGTTTATTTAACTAATGGTGCCTGTGTACATTAGAAAACTTTTAAGATTAGGTCACATTTTATGGTTCACTTATTTCCTTTTTACTATTTTGAAAAGAGTAATAGAATCACCTCATATATTTGAGGGGGAAATAAGTTCTTGAAATATGGGAGCAGTATGTTTTCCTTATTTTATGTTCCCTCTCCCAACTCCTCCATTTAGCATTTGAAAATTAAGTTATATGGACTCTGAAAGTAAAAGATGTTTCGAAAGTTAAGTTTGTCAAATGTTAAAATCATCAGATACCTGAACTTTCTTAGTTTGTCTTTTTTTAATTGAAGCCCGACCAAAGCATCATTAATGTTACTGGTTGCTTAGTACACTGTCATCTAAAATTCTGTAGTACCTTGATCTCAAAGTATAAGCAAATAGAGATGTGGCTTATTGGTGTGTATTTAAAAATAAAGTACATATTTTAAATATTTAAAAAATTGTTCTGGATAAAATGTGAATTTCTGTGACAGTGGATTTTGCAAGATTCCTATATTGTTTCTACAGTACCAATTAAGACATAGCCCATTATGAAGGGAAGGAAAAATAAGACAAAATCAGAGAGGGAAACAAACCATAAAAGACTCAGCTCTAGGAAACAGGGTCGCTGGAGGGGAGGGAGGTGGGAGGATGGGGTCACTGGGTGATGGGCACTAAGGAGGGCACGTGATGGGATGAGCACCGGGTGTTATAAGCACCTCAGGAGTCACTAAACTCTACCTCTGAAATTAATAATATACTGTATGTTAATCTGTTTCAAATAAATTTTAAAAAAGAAAAAAGTAACCCATATTATGTATGAAATGCATACACATTTCACTCAAGTCTTATGTCCTAAACATATTTTACTCATTTTTTTAAAGAATGTTTGATTTTTGAGAATTGTCTTCCATCTGTCTTGTTTTCTGTTATAGGGTTAATGCGAGACGATACAATATACGAGAATGAGGATGTGAAGGAGGCCATAAGAAGGCTTCCTGAGAACCTTTACAACGACAGGATGTTCCGCATTAAGAGGGCGCTGGACCTGACCATGAGGCATCAGATCTTGCCTAAGGAGCAGTGGACGAAATACGAGGAGGTAACTCAGAGTTTGTGTATCTGACACTGTTGGCTGCTGAGCACCAAGCGTTAGAAACAGAAACACATTCATCTGTACAGTGCCTTAGACTTCTTAAAGTTGTGTCCAATAAATACCCTCCTGGCAGCCCGGTGAGGTTAACAGCAAATGTGAACTCCCTTTAGAGAGAAACACTTTGTGACTTAGAGGTGACGTGACTGTTCCAAAATCACTGAGCAGGTCTCTGGTGTAGAGACCCAGATCCTCCATACTCTATACTCTTTTCCTGCTCTGATGAAAACGTGGTGGGATCCACATGATGAGCCCGTGGAGTGGCCTCTGGCTCCCAGGAAGGGCCTGATGTAAACCCTCACCGCTTGAACTGCACACACTTCTGCTCTCATGTCTTCTCTGACCCACTTGCCTCTCTCAACCTGTCAAAGCAACTAGTTAAAGTATCTTTGTGGGTTTTTACACTTTAGAAGAGCAGACAATTCTTAGTCTGCTTAAAAATATATTTCCTTAAGTTGGAAATAAAAATTAATTTTGATAAATTTCTTTTGTGGAAGACCTTTTGAGTGGGATATATCAGCGTGTGGTGGCATATGATATTTTTATTTTATTCATTCTTTAGGATAAATTCTACCTTGAGCCTTATCTGAAAGAAGTTATTCGAGAAAGAAAAGAGAGAGAAGAATGGGCAAAGAAATAATCATGGTGTTGAAATCTGTGGTTGCAGCTGCCCTCAAATACTTCGAAGAAGTTGGGTAAACCTGAAATGTACAATTTTGGACTATTTGAGCTGCTAATGTATTACTTTAAATAAATGTCTACTGTAGTTATTATTGGAGTG